GGAGGCAGTATGACCTCTGAAACGTTGGTTAACATCGACCAGACTACACAGCGCAACAACCCAGAAGACAGAAATCTTCATACTCATCGCCCTGATGACGGAGGCAGTATGACCTCTGAAACATTGGTTAACATCGACCAGACTACACAGCGCAATAACCCAGAAGACAGAAATCGGGTATTAAAATGTTTCTTGCAACTGACGTAGTCATTCTAAAATGTCGGTATTTTAAAGACTTTAACTTCTGAAATATTTCTTGTACGCATAGCAAAGTCCCCGACCCCCTTCAGAAACTGATACTGGCTTATCTGGTCAGGAAATTTATCGACTTTTATGGAACCAACAGGTTCACCTATCTTAAGCCAGCTGAATACATTCTGCCCATGAAGTGTATTTACGATTACTTCATTAATCTGCGTTAACTAGCTAATCTATGTAACGGTGAAGAGTTGTGTTTTCTTTGCGGTACGGGCCGAATTCTGAAGTTTCAGCAGAAGAAACGTAAATTTAATTAACCCTCCCTCCCCCCACACTTTGTCTCTCTTCCTCCGGCTTCAAAGAGTTAAGATAGTAACATAATTAAACTTGTTTCTCGTTCGTCCCAACTACGACCATGACTGAACTCCAATTTCCTGGCTGAAATTTTCAAAGCATTTCTCTTATCTCCCAGCACCGATCAACTCGACTTCCTTAATTTTATCGTCGTAATAATATCTTACGCGACGTAAACATCTAAGTAACAAAATCAAGTACGCTTAAATACTTAATCCGAATTAAACATCTGTTTCATCATTAAACACATCAATATTAGCCTAATAGACACTGAAATTCTTTTTAAATAATCCCCTTGTACTTTGGGGTATTACGCGACACAGCCGGATCCAGCGGCTAATGTTTTTAATAAACATCCCTAATTACCCACACACATCTTAAACCCCCATAACCTGCACAATATAAGAGGGACGTAGTTTACATTAAGGTACATCACGAAGGACTGCGCCCCGACCGGCCTAAACAACCAATGAAACGCGCATTAGGACTAATGTGTACAGTCACACACAAAACGCAGCCTTTGAACGTGTGATAAAAACAATAAAACCCACCAAGATGAATGAAGATGGCGGTCTTCTGGGTTATAACGCCGTGTAGTCTGGTACAATTTTAACAACGTTTCAGAGGTCTCTTCTGCCTCCATCATCAGGGCGATCGTCGGTAAACTTATATCAGATTACACGTCGCTACAACCCAGAAGAAAGCCATCTTCTTACTCACCACCGAGAAAACCTCAGATCCTACTTAAAAGCTTCCTCAAGTTTCAGAATTTGGCTAATTCAAAAAAGATAATGCAAGCCTGGAGTCCTAACCGCGAAAGAAAGATGGACAATACACGTGTGGGGTTCAAATTCCAGTGGTAACTATATATACCACCTAATTTAACATTCACTAACTTCATTTTTCACTATAAACAGCGATTATTTCCTTAAACAGCGTTAACCAGTCGATCTTTGTAATGGTGAAGTTTAGTGTTTTCTTCGCGGTACGGACTGAGTTCTTACGTATTATTTATACGAGCTTCGACTTCAAAGGATTAACCAGTTGATCTTTGTAATGGTGAAGTGTTGTGTTTTCTTTGAGGTACGGACTGAATTCTTTAAATAATATTTAGACGAGCCTCGGCTTTTGAGGTTTAACATCGTAGCAAAATCATGCCGTCTGCAAGTTCACAGTGGTTCAGCGCCGCAGACAAACCAGAGTTACTGCATTTCTAGTAATACTGTAGTTACTTAGGTAACAACAAGTTAGCCTTAATTATTACTGTGATGTAACGACCACAGTTGTTAGCTGAGCTGAGGCTTCCGGAAATGTAGTAGCTAGACGTGGCCAGACGTACATGAATACAGACATTTTGAACGTATCTTCAGTAATGATCTCTATCGTTTATTATTCAAAGTCTCGCGTTCCACATCTAATTAGTAAAAGGGAAGAGATGAAGAGTGTAAAATGATTCGGACAAAACGTTTGTAGACTAAGTATCACAAAGGATAAAGCGAAACGTCTCCGAGAAGCCAGTAAACGGATTACACGTAAAAATAAATTCTGTCCTAAGTTATACAAATATTTTATTATTATTAGTGTTCTGTCTGACGACAGGTCCATATGAACAGGATCCTTCCATCCTTTTCTCGGACTGGGACCTGTTCATATACGTTCTTGGCAGATGATCCAGAAGTGGTTTGCCATTGCCTTCTTCTGTGTGTGAATGGAGTAATTGTTGGGATGCCACGGAGGAAAACTCCGTGTTGCCTAGACCACGGCCTTGCCCAACACAAGTTATAAATTCGGGCACCGCCGGGAATCTAACCCGAGACCCCAGGATTACAAGGCCAGCGTTCTAACCGCTAGACCACCGTGGCTTCTATATAAATATTACACGAACACAAATCAACGGGAATGTTTAACACTTAATAATATTTAAAAAAAAAAACGCAAAATGTTTTGGAACCAACCTAACAGACGCAGGCTCAAAGGAGATTTATTTTAAAATTACGCAAATAATAAATTTGGACAAATACCTGTTAATCAGCCACGAAAGCAAACTTAAACTTTGCCATAAGTCCTACAATTACTTGAAGGGCAACCTTGGCTTATGACAGCAATTACTTTACGTGTTACGCCATCACTCCGCCACTCGACCGTCTTTTATTTGACTCTCGTGCCATCGTCGTCTCCTTCCTGCCCACCGCCTGTCTGCTCGTCCCGCATCCGCCATCTTTAACTCCGCGTCAGATCCCCCCATTACCCTTAATAGTCGCAACCAATCGCAATACGCATGCGCAAGACAGCAGCCAATCCAAGAGCTCCATTCTCGATGTCGGTCCAGTCATCATTGCCGCTGTAATAAACGTTATAACGGAAAGCCAAGTTGTGACTCCATTCTTCTGATATTCTTCAAAAGAAGATCACGGGGAAATTTTAAAAAGACGGAGTGAGCATTGGTTACTGGCCGGCGTACAGTCTCAACGAGAATTATTGAAACTCTGCAAACCGGAGAGAGAAAATAAGGCATGGAATTTCCCCTTTCGCGAAGTTTCAAAGCGCCAAACCAACTCCATCCTTAATCAGACACTGACAATCGTGTATTCTACGTCATTTATGGAACACCGACGCCTAATAAGGTCTTCTGAAGCTGCACTGGACCCTACCCCGAATAAAATCCAGTTCGCAGTCCCACGTCCTACTTATTTAAGGACAATTTCCATAAATCTTTTAAGTACCTCATTCCTTGAAGGTTTTTCGGCTAAAATTTTAACCCTGCCAGTTAGAATTACTCACGTTCTCAAAATTCGCGTGCTACATTCCTCGCCCATCTCACCCTTCTTAAATACGTTCGGCCATTAAATGATTTCATCAACACTGACAGTAGCAACAAGCAGGTACCGCATGATAATCAGTCTAAAGTCAATAGAAATTCTAATATCCCTCGGAAGAACAATAATGCTAACATGGCGGTCTTAATATATATTAAGCCTGCTTTACGACCAACAAGTTAGGACATTGAGTTTCCAGTCTGTGGGTGTTAATTTCTGATTTTTTGGTATATAACCAGGATATTCAGTTCCTAACCTAAGCAAAACACGGCGTATCACCATTACAAATATCGATTTCTTGGTGTTATCAGGAATCGAACTGCGGCTGTCTAGACCATATCCCAGTCACTACACCGACTTAAATACCAGTCTCAATAATTCTGCAGAAAAAAAATACGTAAATTTTCAACAACAAATCATCTTTTTGATTTGTCCACATTCGTCTTCTGCGTTGTAACACGGTACATACCACATTATCGGAGGAACATACTGCTTCCACCTTCAGGGATGAAGATCAACATCGACATCTTCAACTCTTTGAGAAGCTAAAATCTTCTTTTTATGTTATTGTATGTTCCAGTTCCTTCTAGACGCAAGTAACCTCGAAGCGGGACTAGGTCTATTAATAATAGGCAAATGTTGGTTGAATACTTTTTCGCATTTGTTGTTAAGGGATTTTAAGCTGTTGACGTAACAGTTGCCATGGTGATGCTGTTAAGTGCCACGTGTTTTGTAAGATAAAATTATAAAAAAAAAAAGAAAAATAATCCGGGCTCATTTTTCTTTACACGGTCACGTGAACTGCCTTCTCCTTATTCTTCCAGTGGGTCCTGGGAACATGGCGCTAGTCGACAAAGATGGGAAGAAGAAACACACGAGGCCGACATTTAGCGGGCAGCAAATATTCGCGCTGGAGAAGACATTCGAACAAACCAAGTACCTCGCTGGACCTGAAAGGGCAAAGCTTGCCTACGCGCTGGGCATGACTGAGTCACAAGTCAAGGTAAGTTTCAACAACGAATGTTCATCTTCTTACGTCACACATTTTGTAGCAAAGATTACAGGACTGGGTGTTAAAAAAAAATCTACTTAAAGACATTTAAAATTTAGCATTTAACACACAAAATACCTTCGCTTATTTCCATTTTCCTATTCGTTTTTCCCCCCCTTTTGAAGAAAACTTCTGTAGAGATGAACAGGGCATGTAGATCGAGTTGATCAAACCAAACAAAATTCTCATCAGATAACTTCATCACATGAGACAACACGAGATGCCACATCCTAAACGTGAAGACAATATTAAAATTAAGTTTAATCAGGTTATTAATATATGAATTAAATACAGTAACTGGTTCTACATCAGACGAATCGGCGGGCTTCTGTGACCAATCCAATTCATTACTGACTGGACAGAACGTCCGGGTTGGAGGTTTACTTTGAAATAAAACACTACATTTTTACTACTCGGAACTAAGTCAATATTGTGATTCAATCATTAACTTTACAGTTTAATACTGCGTCGTTAAATATCCTAGAAACCAGATAACATGGAATTTGTTCCACGGCTAGGGAGTTTGCTAACCTGCCAGTGAAAACAAACTGACAGGCTTAAGTTACGTGAAATTGGGCGTTTTGACGAGAAATGCGAACAAACGAGGGCTCGAAAACCGAGCGGAAAAGTACCTTTGACGAAAACAGACAACTTTCTTTCGCTATTAAATACATAGGTCGAACAATAATATAGACCGTAAAGCTGTTCAGACATCTCCATCTGCTGTAGAGATTAAGAATATGTGGAGTTTGCACTCTGCTCCCCAATACGTCTTTATGGTGTGATCGGCTCCTACCCTGACCAGCTTGTGCATATTTAGTGCGGGGGAGGGGGAGAATGAGGGGTCAGAACAAACTGCACTTTAATTAGTCGGGAGTAACACGAAGGGGCCTGTTTCTGAATAAAGTGTTTACGGGATACGGTAGTTCACATAAGCAGCGTCACTTTCCATACTTCCGCCTTGGACCCCATCTTCGTGATTTCCTATTTTAACTACAGACAATAAAAACGCTAATAGACGTTTTCGCTGTACGCTGAGCCACACGATTACGCTTAGAACAATCGAAATAAGGAAACGAAAGATAGGACGATTAATGGACAATTAACTGGAAAGAACAGTGAAAACACTTCACTTTACAGTTACAAAGATCAACTGGTTAACCCTTTGAAGCCGAAGCTCGTCTAAAAAATATTACAGAATTCAGTCCGTACCGCAAAGTAAACACTTCACTTCACCATTACAAATATCAACTGGTTAACCCTTTGAAGCCGAAGCTCGTCTAAAAAATATTACAGAATTCAGTCCGTACCGCAAAGTAAACACTTCACTTCACCATTACAAATATCAACTGGTTAACCCTTTGAAGCCGAAGCTCGTCTAAAAAATATTACAGAATTCAGTCCGTACCGCAAAGTAAACACTTCACTTCACCATTACTAAGATCAACTATTTAACGCTGTTTAAGGAAATAATCGCTGTTTATTGTGAGAATGCAGGTGGGACATATAGTTACCACGGAAGATATCCATTAAAAGGCCATTTATTAAACGTGATTACCATTTAAAACAGCCTCGATCAACGGATTGTTAAGTTGAAAACATGGCCGTGTTTACACAACGAAGTAATCTATTTTAAATCAAATCTGTATAATAATAGTCTATCATATTATAAGACAATTGCGTCATCTCAATCAAAACCACTCTAAAATATATTTTTGTGCAAACAGAAAGTTATATTTGTTTCATTACCACGGGCTCGACTTCATTTTGAACAAAGTCGTATTCAAAGGGCCATGGTAATCCACCGCCTTCCTTACGCGGCCGAACTCGTTCCGACTACAGCAAAACCTAACCTCACTCTACACCGTCTTTTCATATGTAAATTGTTATGGAGCTGTTTAAAGCCAGACCGGGCCTTTTAACCCACCCAATTGCTTCGTGCCTTGATTAGATTCAGTACGCTGAAGTTAAAGGGGGTGAGGTGGGGGTGGAAGGGGGGGAGATAACGGAGAGATTTTTGCGTTGAACATCATTTCAGAATGAGTATTATAAAAGAGAGAAAAGAAATATATGGGAAAGAAAATAAGAGATTTAAAAATAGTAAAATGCATCGTGGTATTACTAAGTTAAAGGGATACTTGGTTACCCTTTCCACGCCATCCTGACTCCCTAAGGGACCTACGAATTTCTGCCAACTTAAAACACACCTAAATTTATACTACCGAACATTCGAGTATGATAAATGCCACAAGAGTTATTTAGGTCTGACCGAGAAGTACAAATTCCTTTAAATAAACCATTTTTTTAATTTTTGGTTTGTATTTATTGCGGGACAAGCCACGGTGGTCTAGCGGTTAGAACGCTGGCCTTGTAATCCTGGGGGGGGGGGGGGGGGGGCGCGGGGGGGGAATAATAATAAGATGAGGTGGTCTAGGCAACACGGAGTTTTCCTCCGGGGGCTTCCCCGGTTTCTCTGTGGCATCCCAACAATTACTCCATTTACACACAGAAGAAGGCAATGGCAAACCGCTTCTGGATCATCTGCCAAGAACGTATATGAACAGGTCCCAGTCCGAGAAAAGGATGGAAGGATCCTGTTCATATGGACCTGTCGTCAGACAGAACACTAAATAAATAAATAATTTATGGCGGTATTTTTTATTAAGGATGCTGTCAGTAACACAGGATAATACAGAGTCAAATAATACTAAGATTAATAAAATATATAAAGGCAAGGATTTGAAAGGAAACAAATGTTCCCTAGTTTACAGAAGTTGTTATTCCACAATTCATCTTGAGGAATTGAAGGGAACTAATATTATTATAAGAAAATGAAATTTTCGAAAAACCATGACAACCAGTGCCGGACGAGATTAAGTATCTAAGTGATCATTTCAGTTATTTTAAAACCTAGCAACGACATTCAAACTATGAATGTCAAATATTTATTAAATTTATATAAATAAGCAATGTTAATTACTTGGTTCGGTGGTGATCATTTGCTATTATGGGGTTGTGGGTTATATGACATAAGAATTATAACCGTTCCCATGGTAACTATGTGATGGACATAAAATCGAATTATATTCTCTGATCAGGCAGAGATAAGTAATAACAATAACTTATTTGTTACATGAAATTACTTAATTGTAATTGTTATAAGCTGCTCTGTAGAAACAATTCATTCAAACAGAAGAATTTCTATACGACGCACCAAAACAGATGTTTGCGTTTCAACACTTCGCGTATTGAATAATTAAATAAAAGTTAAGTCAACGATTTTAACTGGCATACGCTCTGTCAATACAAATTCGCTTTTAAGCGGTAATTTAGAAGTTCCCGTCATTATTGAAGGGCAACTTTGTAGTTATTTTATTTATTTAGTGTTCTGTCTGACGACAGGTCCATATGAACAGGATCCTTCCATCCTTTTCTCGGACTGGGACCTGTTCATATACGTTCTTGGCAGATGATCCAGAAGTGGTTTGCCATTGCCTTCTTCTGTGTGTGAATGGAGTAATTGTTGGGATGCCACGGAGGAAAACTCCGTGTTGCCTAGACCACGGCCTTGCCCAACACAAGTTATCAATTCGGGCACCGCCGGGAATCGAACCCGAGACCCCAGGATTAACTTTGTAGTATCTTGATACTAAATCTAAAATTTCTTCACGATGGTGAAGATTCAATTGAATAAAAATTTTCTTGGATATTATCCATCGTCTAGTAAATATAAAAAACGTAAAAACGACGTTTCGGAGATGGGACTCTATCTCCGTCTTCAGGTTCCTACACAGTTGGGCCCACTAGATAGAGCTAATCCCTATCTCCGGTCCGGAGATAGGGATTACTAGACGATAGATAATATCCACGGAAATTTTTATTCAATTATCTTGATACTCTCAATTTGAACAACAATAAGGAAGCCAAGTCCTGCCAATATTATAACAGAAAATAAAACGAATGCCATTGTTGTGTGACGCTCCTAATTCTTCCTTTGTCGTCTGCGAACGCGGGCCGCCTCGCCATATTTACATTTTTATTGAAACTCAGCGGGGATTTGCATGTAAGCCGTTCCACCGCGCTGATGCAGGAGACACAAAAACTACAAGACAATTCTTGCGGCATTATGACATAGAAGAGAAAATAGTAGGTGCGTTCAGCCCCTGGCTGAAGCTTCTTTTCCTGTCGAAATGGATGACCACTTCTTCAATTACTCTTTCCAAAGCTTTCTTATTCTCCCCTTCTCTTACCTTTATCAGATCTATTCTAATTTATCTTAATTTCCTCTCTCCGGCTGTCCTAATTCTATTATCTTTATTTTTGTTTCAAAATAATATCTGAAATTATGAACCCTTAAGACATTTATTAACCACCACGGTGGTCTAGAGGTTTGAACGCTGGCCTTGTAATCCTGGGGTCTCGGGTTCGATTCCCGGCGGTGCCCGAATTTATAACTTGTGTTGGGCGAGGCCGTGGTCTAGGCAACACGGAGTTTTCCTCCGTGGCATCCCAACAATTACTCCATTCACACACAGAAGAAGGCAATGGCAAACCACTTCTGGATCATCTGCCAAAAACGTATATGAACAGGTCCCAGTCCGAGAAAAGGATGGAAGGATCCTGTTCATATGGACCTATCGTCAGACATAACACTAATAATAAAATAATAAGACATTTATTACGACTCCATGGGGGGTAAGGTTTTCAAAATGAGGATAAATTAATATGACTGTTCGCCTAGCTCTACGCTTAAACAATTTTAAGGTCACTTAAGCAAAAAACCCAAATCATGACGCAATACGAATTCTGAAATCTTTAACTTATCGGCTGAGTTTTTTTTTTTTTTAATGATGAAAGCCAAACACATTCAAGTCCAGTTTTACTTTTTGGTAGCGAATAAGGTTTCTTATGAAGTGCTGACAGCCACTCGATCGAACAAGTTTAATCTTCCA